CAAAGAAAAAAGTGAAAATTAAAGTATTTTGTTGAGTTAAATTTCAGCAAGATTTTATGACTATATCTAATATGAAAAGTTTCATTATAATATGAGGATGGATGGATATGTAAATGGATGGATGGATGGATAGATGGATGGATGGATGGATGGATAGATGGATAGATGGATAGATGGATGGATGGATGGATGGATGGATGGATGGATGGATGGATGGATGGATGGATGGATGGATGGATGGACGGACGGACGACGGACGGACGGATGGATGGATGGATGGATGGATGGATGACGGTGAATACATGTGAGCTCATGAAAAAAGAACATTTGTTCGGTTCAATTTAAATTCATGAAATGTTGTACTTTCCCAAACTACATCCTTTATATATATATATCATATTTTTATTTATTTATTTATAATACAGCCATATATAGTGTTGCTGTTTATTCTTGAAAATTGGTACGTTTGTATCATTAACTCGAAACAATATTAAAGCAAAGAATATTTTTGATAAAATGAATTTTTTGAAACAAAATTGTTTTAAAAGCTTTTAACTTAACATTTAAAAAATGTAAACTTATAACCTAGGTAATAACATAAAAATGTTTTTACAACGTTTTTACAAATTTCAATAATAATTTTATAATATTATTGTCATCATCATCACCAGTAGAGTTAATTTTTTACCCAACTTCCGCGACCACAACGACATGATTACTCCCGTTTACGATGATCCTTACCCTGTTCTGATCGACGGGATATTTTTGGATCTCCCTCCCGTACGGAATTATCTCGGTCTTACAACAAATTTTTAAGATGTGAAAACTTCAATTTTAGTCATTTGTCATACAAATGACGTTACAAATTTTTTAAATATTCATTTTTTATCAAAGTTCTTCAAAAACGTACACAAATCGAACGAAGTCTACCTTGATTGCGTGTCTCTCTCTTTTTATTTTTCTTTCCGCCTCTTCTGCCGTCTGAGATAATTTAAATAGTAAAAGACATCAGCAATTTAATGCCGATAATATTTAATAGACACATCCTTCTTAAATAAAGATATACGTGAGTTATTTTAAATAATATTTATAAAATTAATTAAATAAAATAAATTTGCTTATGATAAGGCATTCACATATAGTCAAATAGCATTTAATTTTTAAATACCTTTCCGAGTAACTCGCGCCAAACATGCTTCGCGGTCAGCGAAAAACTTGGAAAATAAATTTAAATGACTGAATAAAAGGTGTAAATTTAAAATTGAACTGAAATGTCAAGCCAGTCATATTAAAGGGCGGTGTATCAAAGGTGGATTCCGGTGGATTGGTGACATATATACTCGATATGTTAAGAACCCTTTAACGGAACATATGCTAATTTTTCCTTAGCAGAAAATATACCAGCCGCACATATGCTAATGACTTTCAGCGCTTTATGCTAGTTACCATCTTCTTTCTTTCTTTTTCGTGCCTTATCTTTTCAGGACATTGGCGACCATCGACCTCCACAAAACTCGATCTTTAACACTTTGTAGTAGTTGAAATGTAGTGATATTCAACAAGTGACACAAGGACTTGCTGAATAAATATGGGTGACTTTGTGTGACTAAGATTTTGTTACGGAGTGTTACGGGGGGGAGGGGGGGTTCAAAAATTGTTACGTAACACAGAAAAAAATGATGTTTTTTATATTTTTCATTATTAATAAATTTAATTTTTCATTCTAAAACACAAATATTAGTGTAGTTTTTATAGAATCTATGTTAATAAATGGTTAATGATCATATTTCTTTAAAATTGTCGTTTTCATCCATGAAACTTAGCAGTTATGAACATTCTGATAAAAAAACACGACGAATACAATGCATTTTCGTGACCGCGTGGTACATACGGAAAAAAATCAAAAAAAAATTCTGCTTCTACTCTAAATTCAATTGTTTTTTATTACCGAAAAATTAAAAATATTTTTTGTTACGTAACAGGGGGGGTAAGTCGTTTGTTACGGAAGTGTTACGAAGGGGGGGAGGGGGTCAAAAAAGTCGTTTTTTCGTGTTACGTAATACTCGAACGGCCCCTTAATTAGGTTAGATTTATTTATACTTTTAATAAAGGACAAAATAATTTATAATAATAATAAACATACAAAGCAATAAAGACATCACCAACCCGACCAACTAATTCAGGCCATGACAGCTCTTCCATTGCTAAGCTGAGTTTTGAGAAATAAAAGGATGTCAGTTTTTAAATTAATAAAAAACAAATGAAATAAGATTAAAAATGAATTAATTAATTCGAATAAATTCTATATTGATTGAATGATTAGATCAAACATATTATTGATATGATTGAATTTATAAATTGTATAATTTTTTATTCGAATAATCCTATTCAAATACATTTTGTCTTCATCATTATGCAGCCCTGGCAAGCGCAGAACCGCTTACAGTGCTTATCACAAATAAGCCTTCGTGCCACAAAGATTCCACTATTCACACCACACGACGTACGTAACGAAATGTATGAACACGCAAGCACCAAATCAAACAAAGAAGGTGTATGATAGTTTTCGATTTTCGAACAGACAGTACTCGAACCAGGCCCGAACGTAACAACAGCGCGAGACATGGCGCCTCTATCGACTGAGCAAGCTAGGCCACTATATACTCTTTTATCAAGTTCTTTCTATTTATCAGCCTCGGTTGCAAAGTGAACTAGGCCATTCTATACTCTTCTATCAAGCTCTTTTGATTTATCAGCCTCAGTTGCAAAGTGAGAACAGCATCGACGTCACTTATGAAACAGATTTCATGCAGGAAACCTCATTTATAACAAATGAATATTTGTTGCGAAGATTATAAAGTTAACTCAAATTAAGTTTAAAGGCTATAGTGTATAGTCCAGCCCAATCCTGTCTGTATTCTATGGCTAATATTAATTCTGTAATTATCATTAACATTATAACATATGTTACGCTTTTTAAATGGTACTTGCCATAATAATAAGTTTAGTGATAAAAATTCTAAAAAATAAAAATTGAAAATATTAATGATTGAGCCAGCCAGAGCGCCAACACCAGAACCAGAAGGACGCAAGCAATCTTCGACTTGATGTTTGTTCGATGGTACCTCAACAAACTGATTCTTAGTTCATTATCTCAGCTATTTATAACTTTCTAACCATATTGCTAATTAGCAGCTTTTACTCTAACACACACGATCACACACACACACACCTATACCTATATATATATATATATATATATATATATATATATAATGTGTGGTTGTGTGTGTTTGGTGTGTTTTCATGTATATTAATTGTTGATTTATGGATATGTTTGTTTGTGTCATCCTATTCTTGTGTTATCAACCTTTACATTGAACTAAGCTTGTTTTATTTTTAAAGATTCAAAATTATGAAGCTCTTAAACATTAAATATTTTATGAAAGCTGCATTATCATTTTTGTGGCGGCCTCTTTTTTTGTGAGAACCTCGGAGGGAGCCTGTCTTACCTTAAACCCGGCCCTGACTGCAACATCTGGACACGTCGAATATTCATAGTTACTATTTATAGTATTCAACAAATGAAATAACGCGAAATTTGGCAGAAAAATTTTTTTTTCAATCAATCGAATTTATAAAAAATAATTTTTTAAAAAATCAAATTAAATATTTTTCGTTACGAATTGTATGATTTTACAAACTTTTTATCTCTCTTATAAGAATAAATAATATTTATCCTTATAACCATCGTAATCATAATAACATTAATAATAATAAATATTATTATTTTTTAATCATTGTTATTATTACATTTTTATCCAATCCATGGAGTGGAAGTGACGCGTCCATTTTCGTTCACAAAGATTATCACTCTGTCGAATTTTAAGTCCATTGTTACTGGCGAACCGTCTCGGATAATCCGAACCTGGAAAATTTATTTTTTTTGATCAGTTATTTATTATATAGTTATATTATTATTATCAAAGCACATTTTGTTGAATGTTATATAGCACGTTTGATTTTGTTATTTTAAAATGCCTTCGGGTGGCACGATTTAGAGATTTACCGAATATAGAATTTGGCAGAAGGTGGAATAGTTGATCCACCATTTGGCCGAAACTAAACGACATAAATATTAAAAATCGACAATTTTGAAGAAAAATTAATTTTTTTTAGAACGAAAAACAAGCTATTGAAATAACACTGGGTATATATGTCAGGGTATCTATATCCAACAATTCTTTATCGAGATGATGTTCAACTTTTGAACGTTTTCAACATCTAATATGACCTAAGTAAATTTTTCGCTAATACTATTCAGCAATACTAAAAAACAAGTTGTAGATATCTTATATGAAATTAATTGTTTCTTGAGCAGTTTTTTTACGATTTCAAATTTGAAAACCGTTTTGCTCTATCACGTCAAATTGCTGAGATATTGTCAAATTTAGTTTGCGTAAAGAAGAAGATTGTGGGCCAATACATGGTCAATTTATCATATTAACAGTTATTAGTGTATTTCTATAACCCCTATATATGTATATATAAATTATGTAACAATTTTCTATTAATATATATATATATATATATATATATATATTAATATATATATATATACCAACAACGAAAACAAAGAAGTAATAAAAACTAGCATCGTAAATAGTGACAAAGAAGAATATGATGCTATCGATGAAGAAAAGGAGACCAAAGAAGATGACCAGCCAATTAAGAAACCTGACACCTAATTCAAAATCGAAAAAACGAACTACAAACATATTAACGCCAAACATTCGGTAGAATTTATAGAATATTGTAAAAATTATGGTCTATTACCAACATATATATATATATATATATATATATATATATATATATATATATATATATATATATATTCAAAGGTAGATAGTAGTAAGTCTTGGGCTCCAAAGTTTATTTGTTTGACTTGCTCGTGCAGCCTGCGTGGTTGGATCAGGAATGCAAAGAAAAACAATCACATGGCATTTGGAGTTCCTATGATATGGCGGGAACAAAGCGATCACTTAACAAATTGTTATTTCTGTTTGGCAAAGATCAGTGGAGTTAAACACAAGAATCGTTTATGCGTTGAATACCCAAACGTTCTGTCGGCTTCAAAACCATTTCCACATGATTCTGTGGCTTACCCAATACCACAAACGCCTGCATCATCTACAATTGATGAAGATATACATGAAAAAAGTGATATTTCGTTCTCTGCAAGGGATTCAGACTCTGACTACAATGCTGCCACAGAAGAACATCATTTGATTAATTATGCTGAACTTTGTGATCTTTTAAGAGATTTAGCACTGACAAAAGCGCAAGCAGAGCTGTTTGGTTCACGTTTGAAGGAATTTAACTTACTTGCACTTGGTACAGCAGCAGCGAATTTTCGTCACAGGCATAAAATTCTTGTTCAATACTTTGAAATGAGTGATAATATTTGCTACTGTACAGATGTGGATGGTCTTATGTCGAGTCTTGGGATTAAGCATATTGTTGAAGAATGGCGACTGTTCATCGACTCGTCAAAAACTAGTTTGAAGGCAGTATTGTTGCACAACGGAAATAGGTATGCATCAATACCAGTAGATTATTCTACTCATATGAAAGAAACCTACAAAAACCTGTCATCACTTCTGCCAAAAATATGTTATCTTGAATACAATTGGAGTATATGCTGTGACGTAGAAGTAGCAGCTATTCTGACAGGTTTGCAGGCAGGATACACAAAATACTGCTGTTTCCTATGCGAATGGGACAGCAGAGATAGGATGCAGCATTACGTTAAGAAGAATTGGCCAATCAGAAACAGAACAGCCAGGAAATAAAAATGTTCAACATCCACCGTTGGTTGACCGTGACAAAATTCTTATGCCACCACCTCCTTTAAAGTTGGGACTTTTGAAAAATTTTGTAAAGAAATTAGACTGCGACAGTGATGCATTTCAGTGCCTGCGCAACAAGTTCCCAGGATTGAGTTATGCAAAGATGAAAGAAGGTGTATTCATAGGCCCACAAAAAAGAGAAATGATGGCTGATGAACACTTCGAAGACATTCATAGTTTAACTGAAAAAGAGGCGTGGGTGGCATTCAAGTCAGTTGTATCTAATTTCCTTGGAAATAAAAAGTGCCAATTTCGTGGATATTGTACAAAAATGCATTAGTGCCTTCAAAGATCTTGGCTGCAGTATGTCTCTGAAAATACATTTACTCGTCTCCCATCTAGACTTCTTTCCAGAAAATCTAGGTGCAGTCAGTGACGAACACGGCGAGCGCTTCCACCAGGATATTTCAGTGATGGAGTCACGCTATCAGGGTCGATGGAGTGCAGCGATGTTGGCAGACTATAGTTGGACCCTTCAACGTGGTTTATCAACTCATCAATACAAGAGAAAGTCCACAGTCAAGAAATTTTCACCATGAACATGTTTAACAAATTTTTACATAAATTAGACTTTCAATTGAATCTTTTTTTAAAATAAGTATTATTATTTTAGTATTTAATGCCGTGTTTATGTTTATATTTAAAATCTGTGTAAAAATTTCCTGGAAATAAAAATTTAGTGTTATAATAATAAATTAAAATACAAAATTTGAAACGAAGTTATTTCAAAAATGGGGCGTGATAGACAAAATAGGTTTGCATATTTGAAATCAGCATGTTCAAATTTACTTAGATGAATTATTGTATGCCAAGATATCTGCAAAAAGTTTTTTTTGTTGTTCAGTGATGTTCTAAAATCCAAAAAAGTGAAGTTGCACTATTTGGCTATTCGGCTTTAAAATGGCCGAAGCCGAATGTCAAATTTTGGCAAAATATTTGTCCAGGTCGAACCTTTTGTGCGTCTCTAGCACGATTATGTAATGAGTTATGCAATAAGCCTTGCACTGCTGCTGCTCTGACCGAATTCGAATGCATAGAGATCGCTACATAACATAGGCATTACAATGTGTTTGATATTACGAAAAAAAACATTTAAGAAAATTTTCAAAATTGTAAACCTAAAATGTTAATTTAATTGATTTAATTGTTTTTTTTTAATTTTAAGTTTAGTTAATTTTTTATAAATTTACAAATTAAAATTTAGTAAAACAATTCTTACTTCAAGTTCAGGTCTATCACTGAGGATGGCTGCTTTTGCCTCTTCACCCATCTTCATAAATTTTGAAAAAAGTTACGTATGAGTATATTCATTTATTTACTTTGTTTATATTAATAACCACATATTAATAAACTTAAATAAATAAACTTAAGAGTTCGTTAACAACGGTTCTACTGAAACATTGATAAAAAAAGAAAAGTTCAATAATTTAAATAAAGGACAACCTAATTTTCAATAATGATAAACATACAAAACAATGAAAGCTTTACCGACCTTACCAACTAATTCGGGCCAGGACTCCTTACTGGCCAGTGCCAAGCTGGATGGAGAAAATTAAAATAATGTTAATTTTTAATTTATTTAAAATAAAATAAAAAAACACTTAATATAAATTAAAAAATTTAAACTTTTTAAAAACCCGGAGGCATATTTCAAAATGTATAAAATGACGCAAATTAAGTTCAAAGACTTTAGTTCACTTCCTGAACTAACCGTCTCTAGTCAATCATTTTATTTAGGCCTAATACTAATACTACAATTACTAAACATCACAACACATGTTGCGTTTTTTCAATGTTTTTTTTAAATAGTTTAAAGTTTAATGATAAAAGTAATATAATAATTGAGATGTTATAAAGAGTGATAATAGAAGATGACAGCAATAACTATGGAACCAGCCTGAGAACAAGGAGCAGACCCAGTAGGAGGCAAGAAATTTTCCACATGATGTTTGTCCGACGGTACCTCAACAAAATGATTCTTACTTCATCTTCTCGTCAACTATTTATAAATTTTAAAAATTCGTCTTTGTTATAACTCTAACATAATATAAATATGTTAATGTATAAATTTATAAATATATATATATATATATATATATATATATATAAAATGAATGTGCGTGTGTATGTGAATGTTTTTATAGGCAGCCAGTGCATGAAAATATATATGAGGAAAGATATTATATACATATATATAAGTTTATGTATATATATATATATATACTTATATATATTAATTAAATACAAATGTAGTTCATCTGATCAGAGAACTTTTCAAAGTGAACTTGTTGAGGAAACTTTTATATACTGCACAAATTTTCAAATAATATAATAATAATAATCATTATGTTATTATAATACAATATACAGAATATTCAGTTGCACAGATATAAATTTTCATTTCTTTCTTCTATTATTATTCTGTTATGAATTTATTTCTTGTTTTTGTTATAAATTGCGCAATTGAGAATAACATCAGCTTGAGAGTTTCTTAAATAGGTTAAGGTCGGGTCGCGATAAACATTTAGAATGAATGGGACTTTGATTTGCTCCTTTGAATGTTGAACCTCCAGCACGCGTGTTTGCATGTTGATGCCAAAATAACGTTAAGTTTGCCATATGCACATTGCACTTGTATATTTAAAAACTTAATGAACGCATGCCTTCATTGTATGTACAAATAATAAACTATTTTTCAACTAAATTAAGACATCAACTATTAAAGCATTAATTAACTAGTTAATAACTAATTAACCAACGCTAATAACATTTAGAGCCATACTGTTTCTACAATTCATGAAAGATTCAAATTTGACTGAAAATTCAAACATTGACCGGGGGCATATTTTCCTTCAACACCCAAGAGGAAACATCATCATAATCATCATCGCTATCATCACCATCCTTACCTTTTCCATTATCACGATCATCGTAATAGCAGTGCTCACACTCCTATTACGATGATTAGGACAACGGATTTGATGGGATTTGGTCGGATAGGGATATGATATGACACTGATACCGACTGAGCTAACGCAGGGACCATTTAATTTTTATTTAAATACTAGAAGTAGGTAGATGATACTTCAAAAAACATTTTAAATCGGTCAATGTAAATCAGTGACCGGGTTCGATTCGATTATGACAAAAAGATCCATACCTATCCCATGCATCCAAGTGCGATGTTTGTGCGTGTGGTTGATTCCTCTGAGCCTGGCAAGAGTGAAATAGATCTCTAACAATTTTTAAAAAATAACTACAAGCGCAAATCTTTTAAATTCGTAGTAGAAGTTTTTCAGAGGGAGTTGTCCTCATATGAACATCTTTTAAATACTTTTGAAGATGCAACCAAATTGTTTGTTAGTTTGTTAGTTTGTTTATTTGTATATTTGTATATTTGTTTGTTTGTTTATTTATTTGTTTGTTTGTTTGTTTACTAACAAATGAGAATAAAATATGAAGCATATTCAGTTAAAAACATTGCGTTGAAGTGTTTGTGTCGGCACGCATTAAAGAACGTTCATTCATAATACGATCTGATAAATTTGTATTGTTTATATACAATATTTGTTTATATATTTATTTACTCTTTACATTGTATCACAGTTATCACAGTTATTACTAAAGTTGTTGTTTAATAAAATTAAAAAATAACATAGCAAACATTATTGTAGGTCGAACATTTTAAAGTAACCTTTTTTCTCGAATGATGTTGGAATATTATCACAGCATCATCGCATCATAACTGACATCGTCCTTATTAATCTTCATCACATCTTCATAATCAGCACAACATTTCCATCAGCATTATATTTATCACCATCATAAACTCATCACCCTATCAAAACATCGTTGAATCATTACTGGCGTCATTATAATATCGTTTATCATGATCGTAATTGGATTTACACATCATCATCTTCGAATCGTCATTATCATCATCTTCATCATCCTCATCATTACCACCATTACATCATCTCATCCTCATCATTGCCATCACCACAACATCATCATCTTCATCATTTCATCCTCATCATTACCATCATCATAACATCATCATCTTCATCATCCTCATCATTTCATTCTTATCATTACCATCATTACAACATCATCATCTTCATCATTTCATCCTCATCATTACCATCATCATAACATCATCATCTTCATCATCCTCATCATTTCATTCTTATCATTACCATCATTACAACATCATCATCATCATCGTCATCAATCATCCAATCCTTGGTTCCTGGACAACGATGAGGTTGTAGCAGTAGAGTCTGACCCTGTTCTCATTGTAGTCAGGTGTTATCATTGGACTGCTGAAGACATCTCTGATGATTTCGATCTGACGGTGATGATGATGATGTTGTTGGTGATGATGAAAGTGGGTGATGATAATAATTATAATGTTAATGATGATAGAAGTGACGATAATGATGATAATAATATGATGCTGATGATGATGGTAATGATCTTGATGAGGATGGGATGTTGCGGTTGGTTGGTGTTGATATATTTCCGACTATTTAAACCTGAAGTTGGTTATTGGGATGGTGATGAAGATGATGATGATGATGATGACGACGATATGATTGAAGATGGTGGTAGTGATAACTAAGATGATAATGAAAGCCGTCGTTATGATAATGATGAGAAGAATGATTGGGCTAAGAATGATGGTTCTACCTGGACATCTGGTCTATCATTCCAGATCTCATACATGGCGGTATATGTTTTCTGAATTGTAATTATTGCAGTTGTAATAATGGTGCCAGAGTCAAATTAAAATTTTTTTCGACTTAGGAAAAATGCAAATTCAGTTAATGTAATTTCTTTTAGTAAAATTATTTTACATTTATGTTTCAAAACATACCGATAGAAAATAATGTGATTTTATTCACATTATCAACATTTATTGTAGTATTAAAGGTAATTTCGGAAAGTTTAAAGAATGGTGACCTACTTTTGCTCTATTTCCAAGAACAACAGAAGATCAAAAATTCGAGAAGTTACAAAATATCAAAAATAATACTAATAAACATAGGCCTACATCTTCGAAAATACACGATCTTTAAAAAATACATTTAGAATAAGACAAAACAAACTCAATTTCTTTAAAGTCAGATTAAAAATATCCGACTCCATGTCCGGCTCATCAATAAATTTAGACTCCAGCAAAAATCTTTGACCGACTCCAAAACTTTGGTTATAACAAATAGTAATCATTATTATTATTATTATTAAAGTTGTTATTAAAATGTATTGATAACGCTGAAAAAAGTTTTATTTTAATATTGGTTAACTTTTTTCTTAGTATTATTATTATTTATTATTATTGTTGTTGTTATTATTATTTATTTTTATTGAATAAAAAGCAGTGCTCACTTAATTATCATTTTTGTCATTGCCATCATGATCACCATCCATCATTATCATAATTACCTTGTTCTTCAAGTGCGGCCAATGAGAGATGAGATGATAATGAATGGGGACTTCCGTTTCCGCCTGTCTTATCATCTCTACAACCTCTGAACAGCAAGCATCCCATTTCATCAGCATCATTATCATCACCACTTTGATCATCATCATTTTAGTAGTCTTTTTCTTTTTCGTTATCATCTTAGTCACTTAAATGAAGATTTAAAGTTAAAAAACTCAAAACGTCTTTCTATTTTTAGTTGAGGATATTTTTTTGAAAAACACTGTTTTAATTTTTAAATTTATCAAACGTTTGCTGAATTAGTTGAATATTTTGAAAAATAATTAAGTTATTAAGTTCTAGTTGATCGGCCGGTATATTATGATATTTCTTTCTTATTTTCTATTGTCACGTTGTTAAAAAAAATAGAAGTTTCTGATTCACCACCTTTGCTCCATTCTCAAAGTTCGTTAAAATTTTGAGAAACAACAAGAACAACAAAAATAATAGCAATAACAACAACCTCTGCTACATTTAAAAACCCTCAACGTTCCAAAAAACATTTGCAAAACTTTTTACCGAGACATGCATGCTACATCTTCAACAATAGTTGGACTATTAATCTTCGGTTAGTATTAAATTATTACTTGCTATTAATATTGAAGACTATCAGAATTTGTAAAAAGTTAATAACAAAGTGATCATGCAAACAGCTGAAAACATTTTTATAACTTCTCAAACAACGCAGATTTATAAATCCACATATTGAAATCAGCCCTTCATCATTAAATGCAAAGCTGCAGTTTTCCTAGTTTTCATCTTGTCGTAACCTGGGGGACACCTGTGACCATCCAAGAAACAGATGAAGTTTAAACGAATTTGGATCCGAGGTAAAATTTATAAAAACGAAATTTAAAAAGCAAGCAAATAATAAAAATTAAATAAAAAATTCTACTAAAACATCAGTGTTCTTACAACTTTATAAAACATAGATCCGGTCAGACAACTTTAGCGGTTGGGGCCTAACTTTTGAAAATTTTTCAAACGTTGACCGAGGGAGGATATTTGAAAATTGTTTCAATATGAGTTTTGATATTGACAGGGGGACCAATTTTTGCGGCTGAAGACTTTTTTTGGCTTATCACGTCATTTTTTTGTTAAAAAACCCCTTTTGTTGGACATTGGAATGTTAGAACCCTACACAGAGCAAGAAAACCATTCTAATTGGCAATGAAAATGTAGAGACTTAACATCAAGATATACGGGATCAGTGAAACACATTGGACGGGAGATGGCAAGATGGCATCTCATGAATCAGAACCAGATATTAGAAACAAACATGAAAAGGGAGTGGCCACAGTCATAGAATCCAAGCTGGCTAAAACGGTAACGAATGTGAATTTCGTAAATGAAAGAATAAATCCAAATACGGGCAAAGTTCAGACATGCTAATGTCACATTCATAGAGGCATATGCGCCCACGGATGATAGTGATGATTTCAACAAAGATGAGTTCTACAGAATTTTGCAAGGGGTACTCGATAAAATAAGAAGGCATGATATATTGATGCTAGTTGCTAAAAAATAATGAAAAAATAGGATGCGATAATAAAACATGAGGAAAAACCGTTGGAAATCATGGTATAGATGGTGAAAAAGAAAACAACAATGAAATGAGACATCTGGAGTTATGTTCAAGTAATGAACTTTGCGTCACAAACATTCAGTTCATCCAGAAACTAAGTAGGAAGGTCATGGTAAGTAAAATTGTAACAACATTACCAAAAAAGTTGGCACCCCTGTTGAAATGTTGGCTCCTGGTCAACATTGAAAAACTTGAACAACTTTGTAAAAAAATCCCCGCCTCTCTCCGATCGTCAACTTATATTGGAAAGTGATTTTCAAATTCTCTCTTCCCGGTCATCGAATTATGTTGAAAATCTTGGCCCTCCTTGTCAAAGTTCTGTGAATCCGCTATTTATTTCAATGCCAACAGTAATAGAACCAATGAATTATTCAAAAATCACAGTCTGCGCTAAATGTCGAACGATTGCCATTAATTCACGGCTCAACTCGATTACCCAACAACTGGCACACATATTCCAACGCCACTTCGTAATCAAAAACTACAATCTCATTACTTTTACAACACGTTCTGTGCTTATAATTCAGTAGTTAAACAATCGAAAGATTCTACAGTTCTATAAAGATGGCAAATATAGCAAAGATAATAAAGATAATAACAATCAATTGAAATTAATTTTATAGCGAAATTCGACCATTTCAGCAATTATAACAGTATGTATGTACGTAGGTATGTAAGTATTTTAATGAAATGAAATTTCTTTTTGCAAAAACCAAAGAAGCATAACAATACGTGGACAGGTTAAAACATTTGGATCTCACTAGGTTAACAAATGGCAAGAACGGGGACGACATGATCTATGGATGTACAAAATGATGTCCAGTCCTGTTGATGTTGGTCTCCCTCTTATTGTGGAAGAACGAGGGGCCACAGTTTGAAGTTGAAAAATCAGGCATACCGCAGAAATCTAAGAAAATTTCAATTCATTAACGAATTCTGATTGATTACAGATTTTGTTGTTTTTTCTGTATATAACTTTTACACTCATAAATTGTTTTAAATCGTGTGATCGGTTTGGCTTGCCTTAAATTACGTTTTATGTTTCATTTACACTATGTCATTTTTTTACATATTAAATCTTGTTTTTGTGATTTAGTTTACATCTTTTTCAGTTCTGAAATTTTGTATCATTAACGCTTAGATATGGGCTCATTATTTTTTTTATACGATATTTTATCGAATCCACCAGGTTTTGTGAGTGAAGTACATAAAAATGTGTTTCTAATTTATTATTTACAAATATTTTCAGAAAATTGCAGAAAAAATAAATTGATTTTATTTTTGTGACTCTCAACAAATATCTCACGTATGTTTGAACGATAGATTCGTCGTGCACGAACTTACGAAAATATAAAATAACATCATCAAACAAATTAAAATTATTGAACCAGTGGCGAGGGGTAGGATGAGCCTGTGGTCGGTCAGTTGCCCGAAAAGCAATTTCCAGAGGACACATTTTCACTCGAATGAAAATATCAACAACATTTTACTAAAGAATTTTAACAACAATAAAACATTAAATAATAAATAAACAAACCATTTTTCTTACTATTTATTTATTAATTAGGTTCCTATAGCAAATCACAATTGTTCGAAGTGGGTGAGCATACAATCAATCCCTCTACACTTGAACCCGTCTCACTTTAATTTCAAAATCCTGAGCTAATGCGGCTTTTGGTAGAGGTGTTTCGACATCACGAGCTAAAGTCAATAAATACATTTTATGTGTCATAAAAAGTTGTATATGTAAAACTCGAGGTAGAATTATCCACTTATCTTTGTGGAATAATATATGGTCAATAATCTTTTCATGTGATTCCCTATGAAATGTTGCTTAAGTTAAGTCACTGGAACAAATGATTCAACTAGTTTTGGTTTTTAAACGTTAAAAATACATGACTTCTATTTATATTTCCTCTAAAAAAATTTTCTTTTCAAAATTTTTCCATCAGCTTCTAATTCGAATAACATTTTTTTTATTATTATTCTTTAAAAATCAGGATCTGACAGACGCAGAAACTTGCGCTTGCGTGCAGGTGTGCCTTTGTATCCCGTTATGTTTTTTGCTAATAGTACCCAGGTGAAACTCTGAGAAAAAAACTTAAAATTTTTTTAAATTAATTTTTCGATAAAAGGCAAACCTCAAAAATGTGAGCCATTATTAGTTTCAATAGCGACTATGGTTTCTAAGAGCTGCATACAAAAAAAGTAAAAGCTTGATCATGCAATACTAATGTTCTTTACATTTCAGTGGAATAGAAAGAGACAGCTACATTGAAATATATTTAAATAAATTAATTTAATTTTGGTAAGTTTGGCTGGATCATTTGAATCATTATTATCGTCGTAATTTTTATAATTCTGTCAATCATTAACATTTTTGTCATCCTCACCATCATCATCTACCTCATCATCATCTTCCACCTCATCATCATCTTCCACTTCCTCCTCCACTTCATCCACACGATGGAGGACAGCTAACTTTCCCATGTTCATCGGTGAATATTCTCACCCTGTCCTCCCTGTAATCCATCGTTACCGGAGAATTATCTCTGATGACTTCCACCTTGCGAGTTCAATAAAAATTAGAAATGAATGAATGAATGAATGAATGAACAGAGAAATAGCTAAATGAATGATGAAACATCGAACAATGAAGAAGGGTTGCGTTGTTGAAAGAATGAAGGGCGATTGATAGAACTGACGAATGAACGGATGAATTGATAAAAAAAAACTTACAACATGTAACTTAGGAGACAATAAAAAAAATACATTTTTATCTGATAATTTTCAAATTTGTTTAATAACCTCGCTAAGATCAGGCCTTTCTCTCAACACAATTGCTTTCGCTTCCTCACCGCACTGTGAACATTTAACTAACTTTATATCAAACTGAATGCACAAATTAAATAAAAAAAAGTTGAAATATTTTGTAATAAAAAAAAGTTATAAAAAGTATATTCAAAATAGATTAATTTTATTTGAGATTAATTTTTATTTGAAATTAATTTTCAAAACCTTTCCAACGAGTTCGGGCCATGATGTTTTACTGTCAGCCATGCTGTTATCGATTTAACCTGACCTAGAAAAATAAATCTATCTATTTACACGGAAAATTGCAATTTATAAGCCAAAAATATGAATTGATTATGACGAGTCTAGTCTTTTAAAATCAACTAAAACATTAACTTACGAACGAAAACTTCAGTCTTGACTCTCTACGTCGTAATTATTGATAATTGGTTCCTTGATTATATAATATACTGATATACAATACAGGATACGGACAGCGCACACACACAAACACGCGAAATTAATAAAAATAACAATTAATTACTACACGAAAACTAAATCAACAACAACGTAATGAAGACTACAAGAATTAAGTTGCCACCACCGTTGATTTCATACGTTTGCCACTTCACTTTTATTATATACCCACTCAAGCATCCAACTGGCATTTATTTATTCTGTACCTACATTATATATATATATATATAGTGCACGAAATGTTCTGGGTTACCTCGTTATATGATCCAATAAAGTGAATGAATGCATGAATGAGTGTTTGAAGAAAAAGTGCATGAATAAGATAATAAAGGAATGAACTACTAAATAGTAAATTTAGTAAATGCATTGTTTCATTGACGTAGTTAAGCTGCAGGTGCTGTTATCATGAAATGTTGGTAATAAATTAGACACTTAACACTCGAGTGTTGTATTATTAATATTGAACTTTAGAACAAATCCTACATGATTCTATGGTTTGTGTGAGTGTTCTAAAAATAAAATTCATGGTTCTAAATGTCAAAATTTGTGAATGTCAAAGTTTGTGCGGTTCCACCAAATCTATCTATTTTTCAAAGTATTTTTTTTATTATTATTCTTTAAAATTCAGGATCTGATAGACGCAGAAACTGTTACAGCATGCAAGGCAGTAGTACAAAATTAAACAATTAAGTGAAAAAATAAATAAAAAAGCGGAGAAAGAAAAATGTTTAAACATAAAAAAATAAATAGAATAAAATAAATAATAATAATAGAAGAAATAAAAGAAAAAAACTAAAGTTTTTTACAAAAACTTCATGACTTTTTGAATACAACTTTTACAATCAATGCATTATAATTTCATTAAAATAATTTGCCTAATGATATTTTACACTGGCCCATCAAACGTATCTCATTATAAACTTTGATGTCCCACATCCATTATAATTGTTAGTGAGAAATCACAACAGTTTAGGCTCAGATGATAAGCAGGACTTGTTCTAATTATATGGCATGGACCAATGAATACAACGCGATGACGCCAGTTTACATAAGGTTAACATTCCTCGCAAATGTTTTATTTCAATTCCTATATGTAATATAATGTACACGTACACAAACCAGTTCAAAAATTCTTTAACTTCTTGGATGTCCTATTTAAATTTAAAAGTGAATTTTGTTACGTAACCAACCGCTTGTTGTCCTGTCGTTAGATGTCAGTTAGCATTGTCAGGAGGGCGCATCAATCATATTTATCCTAAAATTAATTCAATCCTTTGAGATTTAATTTTAATATCTCTCTTAAAAATGGAAATAAAAAAAATAGCAAACGGCGAAACGGTTGATATCTGGTCGTACGGCGTTCCGGATCAGTGCACCAGTGATTATGATGAAATAACGTACGAGAAGGGATTGGAGTGCTACGAGAAGTATATGCAGGCTGCCCACGGCATGATATTCTCCAGATCAGATGATGTCCTCTGGGGCAAGTTCAAACGACATGCTAATATCATGGTTGGTTTTGGTTGGTTTTATTATATCTTTTACTTTTAGATTGCTGTTCCTTTGCTTTGCTTTGTACTTTGTGTTGCTGCTACTTCTACTCTATTAGCTGTGTTCCACATTGTTTTTTAATAAGATGTAGTGACAACAAAACTGTCTTTGTCAGTGTTATTGTAGCTCGTAATTATATAATAAACAGTTTTTCAATTTTATAGGTAAAATTATAGTTTTGTCTAATAAGTAATAATTAATAAATGTTATTTTTTAGGGATTTTATATTCTAATTTAAATGATTGATGAGTTAGTAATTTAATTGTAAGATAAGGTTGATTTATTATATTAACGTCACTTAACTGAATATAATAATAATATATTTAACAATTTTTAATGAAATCATAAAACTAACTTCCTTCTAATTTTCTACTTTTCATCTTAGATGCAGATGAGATCTGAAGGTAATCTTGGGTTTGGAGGTGGTCTGCTGGATTCAGAAGTTACTGAGAGTGTGGTCGATTGTTTGAATAGAGAATACCAAGAAGAATTAAATCTAGACCTTGAAAAGTGCAAGTTTAAGCAGGAAGATCACATCATGACAGCTGTCAATCATAAGTTAAAGTTTGTTACACACTTTTATGCACATGAAGTAAGCAATGAATCATTTTATGAAATTGAAAAAGATTCTGTCAACGCTTCACATTGGGGAACTGAGGTTTGTACTGATTGGTCTTACTCACTAATTAAAATTATGCAATTAAATTTATTTATAAAATAGTTTTAAAGGGAGTGTTTAAATAATTATTAAATATTATATCACTTTGAAATATTTATTTTGAAAGACATTTGGAATTGTGCGAGTGCCTTTATTTGTTGTCGACTCAGACAAGTTCAGAGGATTGCCTGTTTTTCTGGCGAATTGTTTTGCTGGTTGTGCAAGGGAACAATTGATGGAAACAATAAAGAGGAAGCAGTTGATTCCGCTGGAAGATTTGCAGTTTGCATGTAAACGTTTTAAAGATTACATGGCAGTTCAATCCCTTTGTAAAGCTAAAAAATGATGCTTTCTTATTTATGAGTTTATTAAAATTTATTTTATTCCATTTTCAATATTTTTAGGTAGTTACTGTCACTTGAATCATAAATTCTAATATTGTATCTTATTGATTGACACATGGTAGATTTCTTTTAATTTGTTATTACCTTAGGAAAATTTTTGTTCTGTCTCATTGTTTTAATCAATTGATATTTAATAAGCATTTGCGTCTTGTTATAATTTTAAAATAATACGACGTTAATACGATATCGCAATTTAGTCTGTAATGAGTTATAAGTATATGAATGAGACGATACCAGATACTGCCGATAATAACGATACGATATCGAGATCTCGATTCAAATTTTTTAGTGTTGGAACGTGTTAATTTAACTTCTTTAAATGGCAGACACTCGTTAACCACTTTAGCTATCGACAAATTAAAGATAGGCTTGAGATTGAAACATCAAAATAACAACTGAAATGTGCTTATTGAAATAGAAAAATAAAATAAATAAATAGACGTTATTTTTTGCGCCAAGCTTGCTATTCCCTTTATATTATATATTAGTGAGTTATGATGTAACAAAGCTCTAGATAGCATCATCATTCATATCCACGAAGTTTATGATATGATGATCTTCGAGTTTTTAAGACAGTAGAACTATTTGAACCGGGGTATCGCGCAATGACGATGACTCATGTCACACTCACACCGTCTGAGCTTATTCTCCAGTGGTGACGTAGTGGTGATAATTATCATCTTGTCTGCTTCCAATTTCCGCGCCATTTTTTGCAACGATGTTTGAATCCGGAAAGTTCCATATCTACCTTAACCAATTATTTGATTAATTCCATTCTTTTTAGAATCGCTCACAATCCTTAAAAAAAATCACATACATTATTCATATATAAACTAAATTGTCACGTCATCGTCCTATGTAAATTGAATACATCATTAAACCTCACTTTCATCCATGTTTCATGAGCTCTTTTAAATTAATTAGGCATCTCTCTTTCTGAAAAGTGAATTTCGGCAAAAAGTCGTGTTTCGCGGCATTTTGAAAACTCAAGAAACAAAAAAACAAATAATTGTAGACTGTAGAGAGGCAGGAAAATAGGATCATGCTGGAGGATGTTGGTAACAAAGATGTTTTCGCGGAGAAGAGACCAATATTTGTCTACTTCTGCAAAAATTGCGATAAAATAATTGGGGATTCGTTCAGTTTGTTGCGGAATGACGAGACGTTCCTAATTTTGCAAAGTATGGTTTTTTATGCTTTATTTTATTTATTTGGTTATTTATGTATGTAGTGTTGTTATTTTTGTTTTACTTTATTGATGATGATGAAATGAAATATATATTATTAATTTTATGAATGAATAAACGAGGATGAATTAATTAAAAAAAGTTTATGAAGTTGTTGATTGCATATTTTTTGTATTTTTTTAATGTTTAATCTACACTGAAGATCATAGAAAATGGTTGATGAAAATGTCCTGAGATATTAACTGTCACTGCTAAATAGTTGAATTTATCACTAATCTAAGTTTTTTATTTATTTTGTTTAATTGAAGCTTTATATTTACAGATCAAATTAAATTAATTAAATCATATAAAAATGAATTCATAAAACAAAATTGCAGATGGAATTGTTGATTGAGCTGTTGAGCTTTTAAGTTCAATTTTCAATTTTAAGTTGTTGAATTTTACATTACAAACAATGAATAAGAATTTAATTATTAATTAGCATAAGTGTTATTAAAAATGCGTGGTCCATATTTATGGAGTAGATTAGTAATTAAGATGAAAAAGATAATGTTTAAATTCATGGTGAAGAATTATTTTATTAGAAAAAACAATGTTGAATGTGTTGAATGATTGACTGCTTGTCTTACAATTTGTTGTTTTAATCTATTTTTCAATAAATTTATCAGATCATTTTTGTGGTTCCGTTAACGTCGATCAGAGGTTGCTTGTCTCAGCTGACAAGCATTTTTTAGGATGGTTAGTGCTTTTTTATTTTTTTCTAAATAATTAAATAATCTATTCTAAGTGTGAAATATATGCTATAATGATGTGTTAAAATTGTTCATGTGTGTAATGTACATCAGGGTGCCATTGAAAATTGAAGTTTATGTGATAATAAGTCTCACGGGCTGGATTTATTCCTCTATATACTGAGCTAACAAAGAAAAAATTTCAGAATTATCAGACAATATTTACTGGTTGCATAATTAACCCCAAGTATAACATACGAGGGTCGAGAACTACTTCGCTCATAATGTAGCTTCTATTGCAATGTTAATTAGTTCTTCAACAATAACTGACTTCTTTGACAGACAGAGGAAACTGGTGACGATGACAATCAACAACCTGCAGGAGGAAATGTTTTTGATTCTCATGTTTTGTTATTACGGAATTGTAGTTTTTTATATGTTCATCTACATCAGGGGTGGGCAAACTATGGATCGTCTTCACTATTGTCACTACTGGTGGTAGACGAGTCATTCCTTTGGCTTTGATTAGAGGCAGCTGCAGCTTCGGAGGCCACACGCATATTTTCACTTTTATATCTTTTATTTGCTTTTTCATTTCTATTATGCTGTCGTTTTTTCACATCATGTAGCACCAAGTCAATACCACCTAAGCACCAGTGCTTCCCTTCTCCCTTTGTGCTATCAAAAAATCTTTATCTTTTGATATCTTGGTCAAGTTCAACATCAAATAACTTATCAAGTGCCGATGTAAATGACTGTTCATTGTGCTCCTGACTTTCACTACATCGTTTAACTGCTTTTCTAAGGTTCTGCCATAGTTTATGTTCTCTCTTTATTTTGTTAACAATGTGATGTTGCTGACGTGTGGGAATTCTCGCCTTCTCCCACAACACAGTTACTTTACTAGCAGCAAATGTAGCGCTTTGTTGAATACTTTTTCTTTCATTATTTTGATACTAAAAGAAACGAGATAAAACCTGCTGATTTGATGGTAATTTGGAACCTGTGATGTGTTCTGCCACCCCGCCAATGAGCCAAATTTAACACGGTTTTTTGATGTCGCTTGTTGACGGAATTGCAGTGTCCTCTTCAATCAAAAATAGACCTTGTAATTTGTTTAAGTCAACAATAAATAGCTCTCATGACTTATAAATTATAAATTTCAATCAATAAACAGCTGTAGCTTAGACGTTAAATTTAAATATTGTCTATTTTTGTGGTCAGTCAACAACGATGTACAACACAAATGAACAAATACTTTAGCATGTTCTAACACTACTGCCTTTAAAATAGAAATATTTAAGACAAACTAGGACTGTAACAATATATTTGTCAGTTTTCATATATAATAATACAAGTATGCATAAATTGGTATGTGTTGAGGCATAAAATTGGTAACTGCAAATACTGCATATGATAACCTATTACGAGTTGCAACTTTTGCTGTGTTTGGAAAACCTCTAATTTTGGAGCAATCTGAACGAAATTTTTCCTGTTTGTAATTGATATGAATAGGAAAACTTTTAGGACATAAGACCACGGAAAATAGCATTTTATTTTTTCCCATGCAACGCATTGGCACCCTAATGTTCGTCATGCAGCTCATACCATGTAGTCACCTGCTCAAAGTGCTCCCAGGAACTTGGCCAGACCTTCAAATCAACCCCCGAACAGCTCGATGAGTTCAGAAATTCTTTCTGCTTTATTGTTGATCGAATTAATATGTAGGTGTTTGATTATTAAAAGTGTTACATTTCTTCAATTTATGAATTAATTTGGTTGTCATATTGTTAATTTGTGAGTTATTTTGTTTGTCTTTGTAGATTCACAATTTAATTATTTAATTAATTAACTAACTAATTAATTAAATAAATATCCTAGGTTGCAACTTGGTACCACGTGTTCACCTAACATGACAGAATATTTTTGTGAAATTGATCAGGTAATTTTAATTTATTTCATACCATTTATAGATATTTAATTATTGTAATTCAAGTTGCCAATGTTGTTATCACACAGCCATGATATACTTACTACTTTTTCAATTATTTTCAGATGAAATCAGTTATAATTTCATTACATAAGAGATTGTCACAAGTTGAAGAAAAGTTGGCAGGAGGCAATGGCCTGAATTAATGTCCTAAGTGTTAATTGTTGTATATCTAGATATTATCGATAACGCCTGATTTCACTATGTAAAGTTGTATTTTTGTAAATATTTGTAAATATTTTTATATTCTATTTATATTTTATTTTATATTTAGGTTTTTAAAAAAAATTGTAAATGCAACATGAGTTTTTTCACGTGAGCTAGGGACGTGTTATTATGTACCGTTATAATAATTAACTTATGAGAGCAGGATAATGGGATTGACTGTGGCTAATTCAAAATACAAATTGATTGATTGATTGATTGATTGATTGATTGATTGATTGATTGATTGATTGATTGATTGATTGATTGATTAAATGTAAGTCGAGTGGAAGATGTGGAATGAAACTTGCGTCTGTTATGTTCAGTTATTAAATAATGAACTTTGCTGTACTTTTTTCAATATATAGTTCATTTTTACTTAACATTGTGATCACGAAAAAACTAGTTTATTAATCTAAATTTTACCACTTGGAATAATTTTTCGATCACTCATTAAATGTGTTTGTGTACTCTAAGTATATGGTTAGTGCATACATACAAAATATGTCTTATAATCTTCTCTTATAATTTTGTCTCAGCTTATGTGAATTAACCTGATTTGAGAACTCATGAAGCCATCTGAAACATAATTAGATGAGATGAGTTTTTGCAAGTGCTTGAAAGTGTGGTTAAAACAGCTTAAAGGAAAATAATGAAAATTGGTTGCAGATATATATATATATATATGTATGCGTGTGTGTATTATAAATATATGCATATATGTAGAATAAATAAATATATATAGTAGGTTTGCCAAAATTTGCATTACTTAACGTTACAAATTTTTACCATCTTTGGAAATCAATTGAATAAGTTTTCAATTCTTTGTTTCAAAAAAACACATTGTTGAGCGATAATCAAAGTAGATATTGAAATTTCAATGAAAATGAAGAAAATTAATAAAAAGAAGGTCACAGAAATGAAATCGAAAAAGCTTCCTGAAAAGATGGTTTTAAAATTTTTCATCCTTTAATTATTTACCTTTAATTTTTATAACTTTATAAATTTTTTAATTAGGAGGTGGATCTCCAAGATGAGGATGATGAGTCTGTTGGGGCGAATGATGGTCATCGTGATGATGAATACGATAGCGATGGGGTAGACGACGTAGATATGGAGAATGATAATGATGATGGTGACGACATTAAAAAAACAGATCTTAAAAAGGTTAAAAAGTTGAAAAAATTAGCAAACAATGACAAAACTCAAAAAACAAAAACTGAGAAAAATCTGAACCTGAAAAACTCTTCAAACAAACGAACTAAGGTTGATTGATTAATTAATTGGTTGATTAATCCACATTGATTGATTGGTTGGTTGGTTGTTTGATTGAAGTTAAAATTTATCAGTTAATTAAGTTAATCAGTTTGTTTATTATAAAATGAATATTTAATATTTTATAAACCCTCAGTGGATTATATTATTAATTATAATATGAATGGTCATAGCCGATTTATGTCATCACGAAAGAGTAGACTAAATTAATTTCTACCACTTAAAAAAATAATTAAAATTTATTTTTAATATTTGATTTATAATTTATATCAGTCCTCTACGGGAAATGGTCCTAGACCCAGTAAAATTGCCAAAACAGAAGAAGCAGATGGAGGTTAATTCGATTATTAGATTTGCTGAATGTTCAAAGAGTTATTTATTGATTGAACATTTTTTTTAAACAATTTATTTATAATATAAAAGTGTTAATATCTTGGGTATCTCAAATAATAAATTAATATGATGTTTTAATCCTTTCTTCTTATTAGGTAAACATAAGGTGAAGTTAGACACATCTGATTTCGGCGATAGAAAGAAGATTAGGAAAATGAGAGAAAATGAATTTTATGACGTGGCCCACGAGTCAAAAGTTTTGTGGGAGCAGATAAGACAGTGTGTATTGAGTTTATTTTTCATTCCTTCTTTTTCCCAATTACGATTTATAACAATTATATGTCCTTCAGAGCTGACTTAGACCCCAAAGAAAGAGCAAAAATATTTCTTAAACTGTTCAAATTAGTATCTGGCAAGTGTGACCATCTTGTTTTAGCCCACGACACATCTCGTGTTGTACAGACTCTCATCAAATATGGCGATGCAAAGCAACGAAACTCAGTGTTCCTCGAGATTAAAGGTTTTTTATATTAAAATATTAAAATAATTTTATTTACTAATTAAATTTAATTTGAAACGATTAGAATTATTTATCACTAATACAATATTTCAGATAAAATTTTGTTGATGATCAAATCTAAATTCGCCAAATTCATTATCAAGAAGTTTCTTAAATATGGGTAGGTAGCACTTGTTTCTATTCGATTCTGTGTTTATATATCTATGTCTCCATTTATTTATTTGTTTCTTTGGTTTTTTTATAAACTTTTATGTTGATCATTATGAATAAACGTTTTTATGAAATTTTTGCGTTGACATCCAATGCGATCAGATCAAAAGAGCACCGATTGGATATCCATGCGGTAATAAGGAAACACATCTCCAAACTAATCAAACACAGGGTTACATCCTCATCCAATTAATTATAATTAATTAATTATTAATTAGTGAATTAATTAATGGTTAATTAATAGTTTTTCAATAGCTAATTAGTAAATCAATTAATTTATAATTAGTGAATTAATTAATGATTAACAGTTTTTTCAGTGGCTAATTAGTTAATAAATTTATTTATAATTATTGAATTATTAAAAACCTAATTTGATGTAATATTGGTTATTGGTTAATTAAACAAATACTCTATAGACTTAACAGTTGATTTAATGATTAGCATAATTTATTCAGGAGGCCAGTGAAGTGGTCGAATGTGCATATAATGACTATTCAAACGCAGCTCAGCGAAGTCAGATGGAGATGGAGTTTTATGGGCCTTCGTATTTTTTAGAGAAAGTTAGCTGCCATAATTAACATATACCTCAAATAGATAATAAAAAACAACTATTTCCTTTCCATAAAAGTTGTTCATAATTTTCTACTAATTATAATAATTTATTCAAAAAACTTTTCAGACAGCGAACATGAGCATGAGTGTGATTGATTTTGTAAGGGAGCATCCCGAAAAGAAGGCGTCAGTCGTCGAATTCCTCAAGAAAATGTTGGATTCCCTCATTGAGAAGTAAGTGACTGGACATTTATTTGATAGGCATGATACTGTGTAGGGTATCAATCATTCCTTGTTGTTATTTGTTACATGTTGTTATTCAGCTTAGAATTTTTGTCATTTTATTTTATTATATTTTTATTTGTATTTGAAAATTATTCAGTATTTATTGTTAAATATGTAACGTTATTTAGCTTATTATGATCGTTGATGTTTTGTTGAATAATAATTTTTTCTACAGGAACGTCCTCCAGATGACATTCGTCCACAAGTTGTTCCACGATTTCTTTGAAATATGCGACCAGCCGCAGAGATCCGTTAGTGCAAGGGACTGAACATTATTGGAGATGCCGTTATGATGGAGCTGTCTAATTTGTCTATGCTGTGTTTATCGCTATCTTTATGATTCCTAAGTTGATTGCTTGATAGATTCATTAGTTCATTCATTCCATTGTTTATTCGTTCGTTTTGTTGAATAGTGAATTGGTCATTTATTTCATTGATTATTTGACTGATTGATTGACTAATTAATTGATTGATTGACTAATTATGTGATTGACTGAATTTATTTGACTATTTTATTACTTGATTGATTGATTGATTGATTGATTGATTGATTGATTGATTGATTGATTGATTGATTGATTGATTGATTGAAATATGAAGGAAATGATAGAAACATTGAGAGATCATATCATCCACTTTGTTCACACAAAACTTGGCTCAAGAGTGGCTATGAAGTGTTTCTGGTTTGGTAATGCAAAGGTTGGTCGGTTGGTTGGTTGGTTGGTCGGTTGGTTGGCTGGTTGGTTGTTTAGGTTTATCAGCAAATAGCTATTATCTATTGACATGAAGTAACATCTTCGTAAAACTGTTCTCTACTAAAATATCATTGAATGGTGTAATATTCATTATCAAACCACATCATTCAAGCTGCTGCATTGTCATTTAATCACATCATCTTCAGGCACCCCAAAAAACATCATCACAAAAGCTACTTCATCACCATTCTCATCATCATATTAGCTTACGTCCTCGTCACGGTATGAACCATCATCATCGTCATCATCACATCACCGTCATCATCACGCGATCATCGTCATCACCACATCATCATCATCAGGACCGCAAAGTGATGATAAAGACTTTCAAGACGTTTGTGGTCAAAACATGTAAGGAGGAGTTCGGCCATTTTGTAATGTTGGCCATGTTCGACTCCGTTGATGACACCAAGATTGTTCAGAAGGCCATTCTCGATGTTAGTCTGCTCTTGATGTCATTCTCTGGTTGCCTTCATGTTATTAATGTTATCACGTTATGGCGTCTTTGTGTTGTTGTTGATGTTATTTTATCATTGCTCACTCATTTTACATTATCGTCTTCTTTTTATATCTTTATCAGTTTTTTATCAGTTTTTTCATACTTGTTGTCCACGACATTCTCATTACCATTCACATCAACGTCATAATTCACATCAACGTCATAATTCACATCAACGTCATAATTCACATCGACGTCATCATTCACATCAACGTCATCATTCACATCAACACATGAACCCAGGAAATGATGAAAGGTCTGGATGAATTGGTACCCGACCAGTACGGCCGCAAAGTGCTCCTGCACCTGACCTGCCCCCGCAACCCCCTTTTCTTCCACCCCGACGTCATTAAGATACTCAGCTCTGGAGATGGAAATGAACACAGGTCGGTAATTGTGTGGTGTGGTGGCAGTGGTGAATGAACTGAATAAACACGCGCACACACAAACAAACACGCACACACAAGCACACAAACGCAGTATCAATACATTCACACGCACACACACAAACGCAGTACCAATACATTCACACACACACAAACGCAGTATCAATACATTCACACAAACACACACACAGACAGTGACCTATTACTAAGATACTCGTACATTTCATATGGTATTTTGATCAAGTACATTACGGTGGCTGTATGCATATTTATGACATTGGTTGGTTAGGTAGGCACATGTGTGGTCCTCTGGTCAGTTGTGTAATAAATAAATAAATAAATATGATCGTTAAAAAAGTCTAATTACCGTATAACATGAATGTCTTACCTAGCTACTCGCACGTTTTGTGTGGGGATTTGATTAGGGACGTAATGTTAATCTACATTCGTTTCTGACATTGTTCAGTGTTCGGTTTTTAAACTTGTGTTTCTGTGTTAGGTGGCTCGCCACAGCCATCCTCTACCTAGAAATTTGTTTTGGGGTCAAATAAAATTGTATTGTATTAAATATAATAATAATAAATAATTTCATAATAAATAAATAATTAAATAATAATGCAATGACAGCAAGAAGGATGGAAAGACGAGACAGATGGAGTTGTGGTCGTACCTGTCACCGACCTTGATGGACTGGATGTCCAGTCACGTCAGGAGTATGACAGCTGACAGCTCCATGCTGCTGTTTGTGGCTGCTGTCGTCATAAATGCTGCTAGTTAGTTGATGTCTTCCCTGCCTGCTGGGATGTCGTTGTTTGTTTGTTTGTCTGTTTGTTTGCTTGTTTGTCTTTAATGTTCTCGTTTGCGGTGTTCCTTGTTTGCTTGTGATGTTTGTTTGTGTTGTTGTTCGTTTCGCGTTACCATCTCTGACATTATCATTATCATCATCGCTATCATTATCATCATCACCACCATCATCATCATCATTACTATCATCATCATCGTCATCAGCTGATCCCACGAAAGTTATGAAGGCAGTTTGTGAGCTGGTTGCTGAACCATTTACAATGACGTCCTTCAACAAAGGTTATTTTTAGAGTGTTGTTATTATTATTATTGTTGTTATTATTTTTGTCTCTGTGTGTGTTTGTTTTCTTGTCTGTCTGTTTGTTCGTTCGTTTGTTCTTTCGTTTGTTTGTTCTTTCGTTTGTTCGTTCTTTCGTTTGTTCGTTCTTTCGTTTGTTTTTTGGTTCGTTTGTTCATAGTCTTCTTTGCCGTTGTTGGCATTATTTTTATTTCTCCATCATGAAGTTCCGAGCAGTTCGGAGTAGCTTTCGAAGTTTTCCTCAATTTTATGCAGTCAGACTTTTGCTTTATGACGACCGCCAAATGTTTTATGTATTACACGTGCACACACGCACTTGTAGGTACACACACTTACGTGTAAGTACACACACACACACACTTACGTGTAGGTACACACACACACACACGTGTAGGTACACACACACACACACATACACATTACAGTAAACGAGTATGGGGCTTGAGTAATAGCCACCTGCATGAATTATATCTCATCTATTCTTTATTCTCTTTTTCATACTCTTATTGGCATCATTATTATTGTTAATGTTTTGTTATTGTTGTCCTTGTTGTTATTATTATTATTATTTCCAATATTGTTGTTGTTGTTTCGCAGGATTCCACTTCATCGATGATTCAAGCGGTCACGTGACCTTGAAGAAGTTGATTCAAAATGATAGGGAGAGAATGAAGAGGGGGGAGGAGGGTTAGTTGCCATCATCATCATCATAATCATCATCGTCGTCATCATTTCATTTTTAGATCTTCCCATGCTGCCATCTGCATGCTCTCCTCTCCACACTTACTCAACCTTTTAATCATCACAGTCTAAATCATTGGAACTATTATGTACCTACTTGTCATTTGCAACATCATCATCACTACAATCATCATCATCATTACTACAATCACAATCACTACAATCATCATCATCACTACAATCATCATCATCACTACAATCATCATCATCATCACCACAATCATCATCATCACTACAATCAACATCATCATCATCATTACAATCGTCACCACTACGACCCCAATAGTGTTATTCTCGCTGGTCTTGTTGGATTCAGTGACTGGAGAGCATTTGAAGTCCTGGCTGCAGTCAAACCGCGGATGTTTCGTAATCATCAAGTATGTTCTTATCATCATCATCATTGTGATTATTGTGATGATGATGGTTGTGAGGATGATGATGATGATTGTGATGGTTGTGATGATGATGATGATAATTGGGATGATTTTGATGAGGATTTCAATGCGGTTTTGTTGGTGTTTGTTGCTCCGCAGATTTTTTCGTATCGTTGTTGTTGTAATTGTTGTTGTTGATGTTGTTGTTGATGTTGTTATTGTTGTTGCTGTTTGTGTTGCAGTTGCTTCTTTTGTTGAAGGCGTACGAGTGTGAAATATTTTCTGTCGTCGCTTCTTTATGACGTCACGCCCTTGTTTCCCCTGCTGACTGCTTTCGATTGAGATGGCCATGCTGATGGCTCTGTGGTGATGGAGGGAAGAAAGGAGGAAAGTTTTAACTGGTTGGTCGCCCAGTGAGGGCTGAAGGTGCATTTGAATTCAACCAACCAACCAGAAGCAAACCTCGTGCGCATTGCTTCGTGCCTTTGATGCAAAACACTCTGTCAAGTGGTGAATGGGGTTTTCCTTGCGTTCGAACACGAGGGCTTTAACGTTGGTCTGTCTGGACACTTTACTGCTACTGCTCCGCCAGATTCGCTGCTGGAATGATAATGAACTTTTTTTATTTTTTCAACTTTTCGTTTTTACTTTATTACTTGAGGTTTTTTATTCACCTACACTAATCACGTTGTGGTTGTTGCTGTTGTTGTTCTTCTTCTTGTTGTTTTGCATGTGTCATTGTCATTGTTGTTTTTGTCATTACTCTTGTTATTATTATTATTATCGTTGTTGTTGTTTTTATTATTATTATTTTCATTGTTGTTGTAATTTTCAGTATGCTGGATTTGGAGAATGACAGAGTGACAGAAAGAATAAAAGAGTACCTACTCAACTGCAAATCCACGCTCAAGAAACTTGAGAGCAAGGGAGCAGAAATATTATTGAAGAAATTGAACGGCTGAGTGAGTGAGTGAGTGAGTGAGAGAGGCTTGTTATTGCTTGTTGTTGGCTTGTTATTTAAATAACTATTCAATGGACCGTACTTTTGAATGCTTGGTTATTCTGATAGTTTTCGTTTTGAATGTTGATATATTTGAAAGATATTTTAAAAGCAGTTTGCTCATTTGTTTTTCCTATCCTATAAACATAAACATAAAGAAATGATGGGCGCGAAAAACATATGCCTATATCTAAATGAAATAAAATGTTATTATAACATTATTATATGTGATGACTTTTCAAAAACAGAAATAAACACACACACACACACACACACACTCACTTATATACTTATAATAAAATAAAGATGTATGTTACACACACATACTATCACACACGAACCACATCCACACACACCCGTATAATACATGCATACTTATACTAAAACAATACTGATAATGAATAATCTTATTCATTATTCATATAAAAAGCAAAATTATGTATTTAATGTTGAGAATCAGTTTCTATTAGCCGTTTCCACATTCAAAGACGTTTTCTAAAAATAATTGCACATTGAATTTTTAAATTAAGTTAACAATCGTTCATAATAATAACATTCATAAAAAATGTGAGTCGTTCAACAGACTTTGTTATAATGAATGTTAATGACCCAGGGAGTTGCACGTTCTGTTATGTTTGCCTCTCGTATTAACCGCTCTGTGCCTCAATTGATCGATAACTTGTTAGTTCATGCACGCACATCTGGGCAGGTAGAAATCATCCTGCTTGTAAATGGATTCGATAGACTCTATGCGTGTGCGTCGTACGTATGTTAGGTGATGCATGCCATATAGTTGGGCGGTACTGCGTGGATCCTTGGTAACATCCATCCGTACACTTCGCCGTATATGTACGTACATACTTAAATATGTGCCTATGTACATTTGCTGCACATTATTGGAAACACATAGAGATTATCCCTGTACCAAAAGTCGGCTCCGGCCAAACTTCGGCTGTCTTACCATATCAATCAATCAATTAGTTTATAAAGCGCTATTTCCACGATGTTCAACAGCGCTCCTCAATAAATTTTGCAAACAGATGGGTCTTGAAATCCGCTCTGAACTTCGTAAGTTAAGGAGAAGTAGTCAGAAAAGGAGGTAGAAAGTTCCAGAAAAAATGGCCAGAAAAAGCAAATGCAGATTTAGCAAAAGAGTGTTTAACACGAGTTAAGAAGAAACTAGAATAAGAAGACGATCGTAAACCGGAGCGTTTGGGTTCAATTAATATATCTGAGAAGTACTTAAGAAATAATTTTTAATTCTAATGTTTCAGACTAATTTTCTAAAAAAGATCCTGCTTCAGGTTCGCATCTACGATCGGATAATATGAATTTGTTGGTGGTTCCGGTGTAAGGTGATTGCAATTTGCTTCAATCAATCAATCAATCAATCAATCAATTAGCTTATAAAGCGCTATTTCCGCGATGTTCAACAGCGCTCCTCAATGAATTTTGAAAACAGATGGATCTTGAGATCCGCTCTGAACTTCGCAAGTGATGGAGAAGTAGTCAGAAAAGTAGGTAGAGAGTTCCAGAGCTTCGAGAGATATTGGTGGTCCGACCATCTGGAACAGCCTACCGGCATCAATGAGAAGACATGGAATTTGTCTTTCTATGTTAAAAAAAGAATTGAAAACATTTTTATTTTCCGCTGGAATATGTCTATGTTTGTTTATATTTAGTTTATGTATAGTAACAATTTTGTTTTCTGTATTGCTATGGTGATATTGTGCGTGCTTATTTATTCATTTGTGACAATTACGCACAGTAATAATTCTGTTAAATTATTTTAGGTAGCCAGTGCAAGAGAACAAGATATGGAGATTTATGAGAAAAGAAAGGGGCACGAGCAACTAGACTAGCAGCAGAGTTAAAAGCTTTACTTAAAAGATATAGTGTAGAATCAGGAAGACCATAGTAGAGCAAGTTACAATAATCAATCCTAGATAAGACTAAAAAAGTAACAAGAAGGAGGAGAGTAGGATTGTCAAGAAAAAGCAAAAGATTTTTATTCTACGTAGATGAAAATAAAAACTTCTAGCGACACTATTAATCTGAAAAGAAAGAGACATACTAGAGTCAAAGATAAAGCTTAGACTACGAAACTTGTGAGAAACATCAAGAGTTTTAGAATCAGGAGGAATAGTAATAGAGTGTTTAGATTTATTAAAACAAATTAATTCAAATTTAGAAGGATTAAGTTTAAGACACATAGAGTCAGACCAAGCAATAATTGAAGAAAGACATAGAGATAGATTATAAAGAACACTATTGAGATTAGATGGAGGAAAAGAAGTATAAATATAAGAATCATCAGCATACAGTTGACTAGTGAAAGAAAAGTTATTAATAATACGAGGTAGTTCAGAAGTACAGAGTATAAATAGAAGAGGGCCAAGGATAGAATCCTGAGGTACCCCGAAAGGAAGAGCTGAGGAGTTAGTAGAAGTAGAATTATTGAGAATTGAGAACAACAGAAGAAAAACGATTGCAGAGATAAGAAGAAAACCAAGATAGACAAGAATCAGTAATATTAAAAGAATGATCTAGCAGCCTCAAGAGAATAGTATGATTAACAGTATCAAAAGCAGAGGAAAAGTCAAGAGCAAGAAGAAGAGTAAGATTACTATTGTCACTAGAGAGAAGAATATCGTTATGTATTTTGAGTAAAGAAGTTTCAGTACTGTGAGCAGGTCCGAAACCAGATTGAGATACAGGTAGCAAGGAGTTAGAGTTTAAATAAGATGACAATTGATTATAAAATAATTTATCTATTATTTTAGAGATGAAAGTAATATTAGTAACATGTCTATAATTTTATAAAAAGAAAGGATCTAAAGATGAGTTTTTAAGAATAGGAATACCAATAGAAATCTTATAAGAAGTAGTATCCGGGTCAGATTCCGGATTGGTGTGAGGTAACCATTTCAAATTTGAAATGCGTCCTCAGATGACCTGAAAAATGTCAACATCATCAGTCAAAGTGACTTTAAGAAACGTCTGAAGAATCATCTGCTCAAGATCCAACAGCGAAGGAAATCAAAAGTGCGCTTCTGAGGTCAATTCACCAGAAGCATTGTATAAGTTCAGCAATATTATTGTATGTATATATATATATCTATATCTATATATATGACATATAAGAGCATATAAAATGCGCGCGCGAACACAAGCACACGTGTTTATATTTGTTGTATGAAGAGGAAGATGAAGATGTCGACGAGGATGGTGATGATAGCTTGTTAGAAATTGGTTCACGTATCGATAGCTGCATTTATTTTTTAGCCAGTAAGTGCGTGTGTGTTTGTTCATGTGCTCGTGTCAGTGTGTGTTTGTTCGAGTGTGATTTTGAAAGCCTTCGTTCTTTTGTCTTTTTGTCTTTGTATGTTAAATTAGGTTAGTGAAAATATGTATGTAATGTATGTATGTATGTGTGTGTTATTTTCATTTACACTAGTTTTTGAAGCCAGGCTCTTTCTTCCTGCATTACGATAGCGTTCATTCGTCATTCTGTGATTGACAAGCACTGCTTGCTGCTCTCAAACTCTTGGAAGTTTTTCTCACAAAATAGTTAAGTGGGTGAGTAAGTAAGTATGCTTTGACCGTTTATCGTGAATAATGTACTTACTATACACATTTTTGTACATCGAACATTATTTATATATATATATATATATATATATATATATATATATATATATATATATATGTTTACATATATAAAGTCAATGTATGTTAGTGCGCTTGTTTAATAAAAATCTGTGCGCGTGTGATGATGTGAGATTTATTACGAAATGAATTGATTTGTTGGATTTTCCCAGCTGATTTTGAATTTTTTTCAATGCAAGGATTTTATGATCTCCTTTCGAATGGTTGCAACAACGAAAGTTTAATGCAAAAAATAACAAGAAGATTATTTCTTAAATCAACGACAACAACAGCAATATCAACGGCGTCAACAACAACATAAATAAATAAATAGACGCCATCACCATTATCAAAAACACCATCATCAACAACAACATAAATAACATCATTTAACAACAAAACAACAAAAAAGAACCAGCAGCAACAACAACATAGAAACACCAGCGGCCACAACAAAGAACCAGCTGCAGCAACAACATAGAACCACCAGCAACAACAACAACATAATCAAAATGTACAAAAGAATCCATTCAGTCGATACCCACCAACGAAACCAAACCGTCAACATGGCCTATAACGACGACGATGATGATAATGATGCTGGTACCAGAAATTGTAATTATGATGACGATGGCGATGATGTTGATAATAAAAGATGTGGTGGTGATGATGGTGACCAGCATGGAGGTGGTGGTGTTCAGGATTATGACGTCACAGCCGGCAAAAAACGAAACCTCCCCAGAATTTTTCTCCATTTCGACTTTCGCAGAGGAATGAATGGACTTAACAGGTGTGGTGTTGGCTTCATTTTGCAACAATGCATTATGTAGCTCTTAATTTTATTTTTATTTTGATTTTGGAAATGATTCGTTAACCAGAGTGTTGGAGTCGGATAATTTTCATCCCACTTCACTTTGACACTCAGCTGTTAACTTTTATTTTCTTAAATGCTAAATAAGTAACTATTTTATTTTTTTTTAATCTTTGTCGAGACTTTTATTTTAAATTGTTGGCCAAGGGCGTGCCCAAGCCGTTTTTTAATAAATAAATATGTCATCTAATTATGTAGCACTTAATTATGTACCGCCCAACCATGTAGTAGCACATATTTATATTTAACAATTATTTCGAATGAAATTGCTTAGAAAAAGTTTTGTCAAGAAGATTGTAAGGAAGAGCAAAACGGTGAAAGAGCGCGTCAAACATAGAGTTAGCTTTTTAAAAAATATTTTGCATTCATCGTTTGTTCAGTGTTATTTTTAATTATCGTCTTTACATCATCGTCGTCATCATCATTTTCATATGAATATATGTCATCAGATTTATTATCACCACAAAAATCACCATCAACAAAGATATCATTATTGCCCTCACATTCGCCACCACCACCATCTGGACAGGTATCGTCATGGAGACGAGATCACGTGGTCAAGAAACCAACAATGACGTCATCAAAAGCGACTAACATGATTGGTGGATGGAGTTACATGAGTTACTGGTCGTACGATTACTCATGATGATGATGATGATGGATGATGAGGAGGAGATGGAGGAGATGGAGGAGGAAAGGAAGATGGCGTTGTTACGTGATTAATAAATACACTGATTACAACAACAGTAATGACGATGACGAAGACTGCGGTGATGAAGACGACGACGATGATGATGATGTTGACGAACACTGTGACAATGCCATAATGATGACGACGATACAACTTCGATGAAATTGATGTTGGCGATGATTATGTGATGACGACGACGATGACGACATTTGTAATATGACAAAAAGTGATGATGTCAATGAATAAACAGCAAACCAGCTGTCTGACAATTGGAATTTCCAAAGGTTTTGATAGACCTGGTTACATTCATAATGAATATTGAATAATAATAATTATTATTATTATTATTAACAATAATAATATAATAATAGTAAATAATAATAATAATAATATAATAATAATAAGCATAATAAGCATTACGAAATACGTAATTAATAACCTCTATTTCCCACAATGTCATTTATAGCATAATACAAACATGATTGTTCATAATAATGATAATAACCACAGCATAATCATAATAGTAATAATAACGATGTAGTATTGGATTTTCCAACGGTTTTGATTTCAAAACAGTTATTATTATTATTTTTATTTATGCGAACCACTTATGCAATAACTTGTAACACTTGTATTTCCCGATGTTAATTTTATATAACAAACAAACAAAAGAACATAAAAACGAACATTCAAACAAACATACAAACAAGCGAGCGAGCAAACGAATAAACAATGACGAAATAACCAAAATGTTGGGTTATAAATTCATAAAAATTTCATTGTTCTATTTTTATAAAACGCTTATTATTATTATTATTATTACTATTATTGTTGTTAATAGTAATAATAATAATTTTTTCGTTACTATTTATATTATTATTATTTTTTTTGTAATTATTTTCATTGTAATTTTTGCTTTTTATTGATTCTCACAATAATATTATATTTTCTATCATTAATATGTTATCATTATTACTATTATATAATAATAGTAATAATACTATTACTATTATATAATAATAGTAATAATGATAATAATAATAATCATCATGATAATAAAATAAAAATAATAAAATGATAATGCTAATAATTGTAATAATGATACTAATAAAACTAACAATAATGATAACAATAATAATAATATTTTTATCATTTTTAGCGCTTAATTAATGTTTAATTTTAATAATTTCAAATAAAATAAAATAAATTCGAATAACTTAATATAAATTATTGTGCGTGTAGTTTGAAAATGTATACTTTCGAGTTAAGCGGTTAACGATATTAATTTTCGACAATTAATGAATAAATTTATTTATTTATTTATTCATTCATTGATTTATTAAATAATTTTTATTATTTAAATGTTTATTTACTTGCTATTATTAATCTAAAAATAAAAGTTTGTTAAACGTCACTGCATTCAGATTCAGCGTCACGCATTCTTGCTTGTCACGCATAACTGATTTTAAAATTATCGTCATCATTATTATCATTTTACCTATAATAATTAAGCTAAATATATAATTAATTAAATGGTTTATTTAAATAATTTTTTAATTTATTTTAAATATTATAAATTAAATGCATCAAATCTTGAAATTCTCCAACTACGATAAAATTTACTCCTAGCGAGTGAACAAAGCACAATAAAAGTTAGCATGTTTTTATTTATTCGCTAGGTTAGAACAATTAATTGTTACTATGCGATACAGGTGCAATTAGTACTATGTTATTCAATTTTAAATACACTATAAAAACCATCTACCATACACACATACACGCACACACAGACACACAAAACAAACAACAAACGCATGCACGCACACACACACATACCACACACTCACACACACAAATGCGCACAAGTTCTCGAATGGCGCGTAAGGCGAGATAAATAAAACTTCAGCATAACAAGAAAAACCTCGATGTTGATGTCATTATAACCACAGAATCATCATCATCACCTTCTTCGTCATCGTCATCAGTATTGTCATCTTCATCTTCATCATCTTGCCTAGGCATCAATGCTTACACCCTAAACACAAAATCATCACTGTAATCATTATTTTCTTTGTCACTCTTATCATCATCTCCATCGTCGTCATCATCATCTCCATCGTCATCGTCGTCGTCTTCTTGCACAAGCAGCGATGTAACGCTGATCCCATTGGTTGCCTACCTGTCTGTCTGTCTGCCTGTCTGCCTGTCTGCACGCCAGTAAGTAGATCGGCGTAGTAATCTTCAGAATTTGCATGCTTCTCATTTGAAGGAGTTTGCCTTTCCATTTTAATTTTAATGCGACTCAACTGGCGGATGACAGAATGAACGAATGAAGAAATGAATGGTTTGACGGAACGAAAGAACAGAAAAGAGTAAATGGATGAATAAATGCATAAGAGTGCGAGTAGGTTGAATGATTGAAAGAAAAATTAAGCAGATTACAAAATTAAAAGAACAAATAAACGAACAAATAAAAGAACGAACAAACGAACGAAAGAACGAACGATTGAATATTTAATATGAACTGAGTGAACAATTAAACCCATGAACGTACTAAACGAACGAACGGGCAGACCATAATAAAAAAGACAAGAGAACTTTTCAAGTGATTAATGAACATTTATTGTAGGAAAAATCACTGATAACAAACGTTAAGTTATTCAATATCATCACAATGGAATAATGATAATATTTCTCACCATCAAACTCATCATCGTTATCATCATCTCGACGATGATGATTATGATGACGATGATGGTTTCTATGGTGATGACGACCGTTATTTCCAGTCAGTTCTGTGGTGAAAATGATGATGGCATTAATTGTGATGAAGATGAAGATGAAAAGTGATGACAATAATAATAATAAATTAACAATGATAAAAATAACTATAACACAATAACAAAACCACAACAACAAGAACACTAACAACAATAATATTATTAATAATAAAAATAATGAAGTTCGTCATCACAATCAACATCATAATCATCATCATCGTCATCAGCATCATCACCATCATCCTCATTATCATCATCATCATCATAACTAACCCCACGTTTTTCTGGTGGAGGGTAATTTGGTCTTATTCCTGATTTCGGTCCTGGTTTTGGTGTTGGTTTTCTAGCTCACTGATTGAATGGATGGATGGATGGAGAGATGGATGGAGTGATGAATGGATGAATAGAGGGAGGGATAAATGGAGAGATGGATGAATGGTTAAGTGAATGAATGAATGAATGAATGAATGAATGAATGAATGAATGAATGAATGAATGAATGAATGGTTGAATGAATGAATGAATGAATGAATGAATGAATGAATGAATGAATGAATGAATGAATGAATGAATGAATGAATGAATGAATGAATGAATGAATGAATGAATGAATGAATGAATGAATGAATGAATGAATGAATGAATGAATGAATGAATGAATGAATGAATGAATGAATGAATGAATGAATGAATGAATGAATGAATGGTTGAGTGAATGAATGAATGAATGAATGAATGAATGAATGAATGAATGGTTGAGTGAATGAATGAATGAATGAATGAATGAATGAATGAATGAATGAATGAATGAATGAATGAATGAATGAATGAATGATTAATTAATCTCTTCCAAAATCAATTTTTGTAACACAAGCTGACAAGTGCAGCCAAACTGATGAGAATCATGGAACCGTTTATTTGTTTGTTTGTCTGTATATTTTATATTATAAAAGATGGTAGTGATAATAAGTAGTTAATAATAATAACAGTAGTAGTAATAATAATGACGATGACGATGATGGGTTTCTCTTTTTCACTCACAATTGCTCTAATCTCACGTGACGTGGGATAGAGAAAAACCCCAATGTTGATATCGTCATAACCCCAGAATCTTCACGTCATCTTCTTTTTTCCTATATGCGTGTGTATGCATGTATGTGTGAGTGTTTGTGTGTGTTTGTATGCATGTTGTGTGTGTGTGTGCATGTATGTGTTTGTGTGTGTAGTATGTGTGTTCCTTCTTCATCGTCATCATCGACATCTTTTGGCATGTTACTCGGATGACGAACGATTAAACGAACTAACGAATGAACGAACGAACGAACATGAACTGAATAAACAATTAAGCGCACGAACGTATCGAACGAATGAACGGGCAAACACATGTGCATTTAAAAAAAACATCACAACTCTGACTGTGATTAACAAACATTTATTGCAGAATAAAATTCATTTATTTAATATTCGATTATAAAAATATCATAACATTGAAATGTCTATTATAAATGATGATAATGTCATGTCTGTCATCACCAAACTCATCATTGTTATCATCATCTTGATGATTATGATCATGATGATGGTGCTGGTTTCAATGGTGGTGATGACCGTCAGGGTGATGGTAACGGGGATTTCCAGCCAGATCTTCATCCAACATGTTCATCCAATCTCCCGCGATGGATCTCGAATCAAACGATTGTCTCTGCCGAGTCAAAGGGAATGATGATTGTAATCATGTTGGTGATTTTGTTGATGATGGTGGTGGTGATGATTGCGATTTTGATGATGAAGACGATGATGATGATGAAGACGATGATGATGATGACGATGACGAATGTTACAATGAGGATCGTCACAATCATAACAATCATCTTCATCATCATCATCACTAACCACACGAGTTTCTCGTGGAGGTTTTGGTGGTCTTTCCGGCTTCTCCTTGAAGATACTGACCGATTGGATGGATGGATGGATGGATGGATGGATGGATGGATGGACGGACGGACGGATGGATGGATGGATGGATGGATGGGTGGATGGATGGATGGATGGAAGAATAAGTGAGTGAATGAACGAATGATTGATTGAACTTAAGAAAGAAAAACAAAGAAAGAAAGAAAGAATATATGATGAAAGTGAGAATGAGAATATGAATAAATGAATGAATGATTGATTGATTGAATGAGTGAATGAATGCATGAATGAATGAACAAACGAACGAATGAATGTAGTAAATAAAAATTGGCCAAATGAATGAATAAAGTAATTAAGTTGATTAATATAAATTAATAAAATATTAATATAACAATAAGGTCAAAAATGATTGGATAATCGTGCGTTCATTGGAGTAGCAGTTTTTCAAACTTTTAAAAACTATTTAATCATCTCAAATTTCTTAAATTATTTAACTATTTTAAATTTGAATTAAGAAATTAAAACTGCTTTGTTTAATTTATCTCTGATTATCTGGTAACAGTTTTAAATGAAATAATCTACACTAACTCCAGTATAGAGCCCATTTTCACGATAGCACCTGGAACATTATATTTAAAAATAATTTTTTTAAAGTAAATTTAATAATAAACATTTTAATAAGACAAAATAAAAACCAGAAATGAATTTTGAAAAATAAATGAAATAATAAAAAAACTCACTTCTATGTTGCAAATGTGAGAATTTAATTTGATTAAACTATGATTCCTGAAGTCCCTAAGCAGAGTTCCTGACGAGGGTTCCACAGACGCTTTTATTTATAGATAATTTGGCGCCGGTAACCTCGTAATTTCCTAATTATAAAAATTATTATTATTATATTTTATATTTAAATTATATATTCAACTTTACTGCGTAGTAATTTCTAATTTTAGCAAATGTTCCACCTAATTTCCGATGGTTTCGAAAATTTTCATAGCTGGTCTTTCCTTTTTACGCCGACTGCAACCAACCAAATCTCTCCAACACACCTATGTATACCTGTATTTTTACACATCATTCTATGTTGTTCATATATATATATATATACACACACACATACTACACCTACATATACAAATGTCATATATAATATATATATATATATATATATATATATATATATATATATATATATATATAGCCAATCAGATCAACACACGACATCATAGTTATATATATATATAGCTAGTTATATATATATTATATATATATACACATATATGTTTCATCATTTACGACGCCATAGTTTCTAAATATAGCATAAAATTTGCAATATTTTCCACAAATTTGGAAAGGTTTCGATAAATTTTCGGCATTTCCAGCTACGAAATCATTTTAGTTTCAAATAAAGAAAATTTCAAATTCAATTTCAAATTTCAAAACGAATAATTATCCGTAAAATTTCCATGGTTAACCTCAGTTGCTTGCTTTTCCCGCCTTCTCGACTCCAGCAGCCAATCAAACCTCGGCAAGATATTACCTGCAATTAGTAATACAACACCGTTATATTCTTCTAATATACTTACATATATATGTATATATAGATATATACAACAAACACACACACACATACACACACACACATATATATATATATATATATATATATATATATATATATATATATATATTCATTTGTAGTCACGGTAACTGGCTGACGTATGCGATAACCACCAGCATTCTGTCTGGGTTTAACATGTTTATCGATGTTCTGGCATCTATCTATACATTTAAGTTGTTGCCAATGACTGACTCGGTGGATGGTTTAGCCTCGTTCTCTCGTTGAAAATAATTTAGTTAATCAAATTGTTAAACTGAATATAATTAATTAAGTGAAATTCAATAAAGGTAGATGAAGTTATTGACGGTTGTGTATATTCTAGTAGGAATTGGGACAGGGGTCGGAATGTTCGTAGCGATATATGTAATATGCTGCTCTGAGAACGGGTAAGTTAGATGGAATAATAATAATAATATTAATTTTATTTATAATTACTTTTAATATATTCTATTCGTTATGTTATAGTATGTGACATATAATACTATATAATTATTATGATTTAATATATATGTTATATTATTACATGATAATAATAAAAATAATTACACTTATTATTATTATTATTGCTGTTGTTGTTATTATTATTATTGCTGTTATTATTATTATTATTTTAAATATTATAATTATAATTAAAACTAACTAACGAATAAAAAATTATTTCGTTGTCGTAATTATAATTTGTTAAAATAATTATGCTATTAATAATAATATTATTATTGTTATTATTATTATTATGCTGTTAATTTTATTAATTTTAAATATGCCATAAGCAAAAGTAATTAACTAATTAACTAACTAATCACTTAATTAGTTGGCTAACTTTAATTAGCTAACTGATCAATTAATTTATTGATTAAAAAATTTGATGTTTCTAATGGCAGAGATATGCACAGGCATCGAGTCAGGTGGAATGAATCCGGTAGGGAGGCGTAGAGATGCCAATCCAAGTAGAGGTTAGATCTTTTAGACAATATTATTAATAATTATTTCATAATATTTTATTATTTTATGTTATAATTTTTGATTAATTATTTTATCAAAATAAAAAAAAGAATTTATCATCCTTTCAATTTATCATCCTTTCATCATTGTCAGGTCATTATCATCTTCATTCATCCTTAATGTAATCATTTCAGAGTAATCAGTGATTACACAAACATAACTAATGTAGCTTTTTAATATAAATTCATAAATAAATTCATACTTGAATTAATTCTTAAATTCATAATTCATAAATTCACATAATTCATAAATTCACAAAGTAATTCGTATATAATTGCGTTTTTTGGATACTTGTAAAAACCAAAAACATATCCAACCACACAGGCTGTCTAAACGACCTAAACGAAAAGGCGGGAATTCTACAAAGAAAAGAAAACATTAATAAATAAATTGCCTTAACATTAATTGTGATGTTATTTAATTATTATTGGTAATTATTATATAAATTGTTATGCTATAATAAATGTTATAATTATTATTATATCGTCATATTAGACTAATTATCTCCAGTAATTGTTAAACTGTATTAAATGTTTTTGGCTATTAATATTTGTTATTATTATATTAATTAATTAGTTAATTAAGTAGGTAATTAACTAATTAATTAATAACTAATTAATAATGTCTTTCTAATGTTTTAGTCAGCACATGCGTGCCATGTGCTGTCAAACTGATGAACACTATCGAACATTTTATATTGTAAAAAGATAGTAACGATAATAATTAATAGTAGTAATACTAATAATAATGATGGTGATGATTATGAGTTTCGCTTTTTTTCTGTGATATTTTTGACTAAATCAAAACAATTTAAAATGATAGTTTCGAATGCCTATTGAAAAAAAGTGACTAATCTTATTGCATTGATAAGGTGGTTGGTCAAAATCAGTGCAGAAAATAAAAACTGAAAAAAAGTAAAAACCCAAATTTGCAACCCCGCAGCAACAACAAAAACAATAACAACAACAGCAGCAGCAGCAACAACAACAACTTCAAAAATTACATTAATTCCTACGATTATGTTAGTAAATATATAGCGTAAAGAATAAATTTTCAATAAAATCATTGTTATGATACGTTAAAAAAAGAAAAATGAAACCATAATCTTAAAAAATCAAACAAATAAGACAAATAAATAAAATGATTGAAAATATAAATAAATAAACGAATTAGTGACATCATCATAATTAGAATGAATCAGCTAATCAGCATAGAAAGTCACAAAATTTCCGTGGTTTATCTTGCCAATCAGATCCACACACGACATCATATTTATATATATATATATATATATATATCTTAATATATATATATATATATCCTAAATATATATATATATATAAATTCTTAAATATATATACATGTATATAACCATATTCAATTGATAGTGTATTTAAAGGTTGATCTACCCTCGAGTTAACGTTTGCTCGAGTTAACTTTTTTTATCTTACGACATTTTTCGTAGAGTTTGGCTATCCACTCAAATTAGGTTTTGAATGTTTTTTTAACTATAATTATTAGCAATAATTTAAATTATCACAATTATTTGTGTGGACAGATTAGATGAATTTTTTTTTACAAATTCTAGTCTGATCATCCTTAGTATTTATTTCTCATGAAACTTTTAATTGCGGAATAAAAGTTCTTCTCGTTTTCTTTCATTATTAATAATTTAAAAATATATAACTTATAGTATAAATAAAGTTCTGAATAATTTTAAAGAAACAATCAAAATTTTGTTCAAAAAGGATGGAGCCCTGGTTAATTGGAGTGATAGTTGGAGTGATTGTGGTGGCATTGATAATTATTTTCATCATTTACTGTTGCTGTTGTAAAAGGTAAGTTCTATTTTACTTTTATTAGTAATAAAAGTAATATTAATAATTAATAATATTAGAGTAGCATATAAATTAAAATAATATTGAGTGACGCGATGGTGTAACGGTTAAGACGCGTGGCATTACTAATGAAGAAACTAGATTCGAATGCTAATTGATCCCCGCCTGTCATGTCACAGGCAGCGCGCGTGATGTATCAATTTACGCAAACATGCGTCGTGCGTTTTGTTTGTTGTAAATATCTTTGAGAATGATTGAAAAGAAAAATTTGTCAAAATTTAGTTTAATTATATCAGGGTAATAGTAAAAGTATAAAATATATATATATATAATAACAACAACAATTACTACATATAAATATAAAAATTACTACATATAATATATAAATAAAAAATATATATAACATATATATTACTACATATAAATATCAATACATTTACATATAAATATGAAAAGATAAAAATGTATTAGGTTAGCAATTGAAGTAACCTTAGTAGCTTTTTGCAGTTTTGAGAGTAAACAAAAATATTGTATAAAATGGTATTTTAGTTGAGGCAGAAGTTATATTGATAGTTTTTTTAGTGGTAGTGAATATCATTACTAGTAGTAGTGAGTTGTAGTGAGTAGTAGCAGTAGTAGTAGTAGTAGTAGTAGTAGTTGTTGTTGTAGTAGTAGTAGTTGTAGTAGTAGTTGTAGTAGTAGTAGTTGTAGTAGTAGTTGTTGTAATTGTTGCTCGTTTGTTGTTGTTATAATTGCCAGTAAAAATACAAATGAATAATGTATTTTAGAGAGCGACGCTGGAACGATGGACCGACCATATTCTGTTGGTCTTTTTTCATTTTAATTAATTTATTTTATTTCAATTTGTTTTTTAATACAATCAACGTCATTATTTCACAAGGGCTATTTAAATTGCCACCTCAGTAACTTATTTCGATTCCTCATGAGTACAATGATTAAAAGAATTATTTTATTTTCTCGCATTTAATATTGCATTTCATTTATTTATTTAAGAGAATTTAGCCAGATTTGGAGAATGAATAGAAGATGAGTTAGAAGGACTGATTGGTACCCGCTGATGTTTTAGCTACTTTCTTGTTAAACATGCAACTGAAAAAAGACAATTTTTTTTTTATTTTTATTTTCCAAACATACCATTCCTGTCAC